TGAGACGACCTACGAACTAGGTTGTGATAAAGTGGTATATAAGAACCTCGAATTTTTATGATTATTATTACACTGTATGATCATTTCATCTTTTTAGGGCTCATTAGATGTAGGAAGATAATAAAAACTTATGTCAAAAGTGCTCCAAAGCTCAAGTAAAAATACAGCAAAAGGACAGGTGCCAATTAAACATTCTAATACGTAAAACTTTTGGATACATTAGATCATTTATTTTTAAATTTGTAAACCATTTGAACGGGGACAGGATATACCACCATCTGAACGCTGAAAATACATACTACCACCAAGAGCGGTCCTAAAATGCAAACTTTAGAGTTCAGTGACGAATCTAAAACCTGTTCTACAAAATAGTCCATTCGTGACATTATATTCCTATATGTATTTATTCCTGTAAGGCAGGTAGCATTCCAGTGGCCATGACTGTGTATATATCTACTATGTCGTTACCTCCTACACTATAGTATACATCTATATCAACAATGAATGGTCCAGGCAATCCCTGACGAGGGGCTAACACCGCAAGCTTAGAACTTGAGTGACTTTATGGTTGTACTACAATGTATAATTTGATTGACCAGGTGTATACATAAATACGTCTCTATGACGTGTACCTCTGATTCAGCGTTACTCCTACTACACATCAATACTACGATCTCGTATGGTGACAACTTCCGCTAACGTGACCATATATGGTAAACTGTAAACAAGACAGGAGGTACAATATCAAACGTCAGACCTTAAATCCTTACACATGGCATACGATCACACTATAAGCTCATATATTTATGCTGAATAACATGGATGAAACAAAATTAAAATCAATGATAAAATAGGTAGTATACACTGGAACCTTGAAATGTACGACTGTTTGATACGAAGTACTTACCTGGGTAAATATGGGGAAAGGAAATCGGGGTAACTACAACAGTGGAACATACAAGGTTTACAAAGTTCTGGAGTGATCTGTTCCTTTAACATGGCACATAAACAGAATCACACGAATTAGTAACATTTTATAAAACGAAATTAAACTTAAAAAAATTCCTGATATTTACAAACTGTTAAACCCCATTTGTATTTTTGTGACGTTACAGAGGGTTGTTGGGTACCTTTCCCAATTTGCTTTTTCTACGTACATGTACAACTCTGATTACAAATTAATAGCACATTGTTTTAATCTGAAATTCAGGGAACATAGCTATTTAATTGAAAATACATGAAAACAAAACCTTCCTAACAAAGTGAAAAAAATGATCTCAGCTAAAACGACATTTACGAACAATTTGAAAAGGGTTTGTTTCTTTTTCAAAAAAAAAGAAAAACTGCTGTTATTTGATGTATTTTTTAAATATTAAAGTTTCATGAGTATTTAATATGCAACATTTGCTATAGCGCTCTATCTAGCTAACATAAGCCACTCTAAAGCGTTTTATAGTACAACTACAACTAGATATTCAATTAATACAATTAGCATATACATTAGTCAATATGTTTTTTGGTGAATTCGCAGGAGCTGCCTTATCAGGCGCTAACTACTAGTCCTATGTCACCTGGCTATTATCTCCCTGCGTGTGTATGCCTGCATGTGTGCTGGATATGTAATCTGTTCTGTTTGTAGTAGGACCGTGCTTCCAACGGCATCATTTATAGCGCCATCTCACTTGAATGCAACAACACAGATACCGCAACATCCACCCCAGACCGATTTGTACTCCATCTGGGTTGTTGGAGTTGTGATGGCAGGAAAAAAGCACTTCCTCTGAATATCCATGAGTACGACAACTTCGGGGATCGAATCCCAGCCGCCTGCTTGGAAGGCCAGAGTGTTTACCACTCGACCAATCCGCCAATTATGAATATTCAAGAATTATTCAAACCCCGTGCGGATATAACGGTCTGTAAACATCAGTATAGACGTGCCTATCTGTATTAAAAGTTCCTCCTTAGTGCTGTTAGAGGTAAGTATTTGTATACTGAGACAAACGGCAAAGGAAAAGCTGGAAACGATTTAAGACGGTTTCCGAATGTTTTGTTTCTCTAAAAAGAAATAAACGTTCATTAATATTTGCTTCCTCTTATAATTCGATTGGCTTAGCAGAACAAAGCACAAATATAAAATAATCACAGCGGGAAAATATTCAATCGAAAATATTTGAGTTACATGCAAAAAGATGATAAGTAGCATGCCGACGAAAAAGGTGTGCTTTTCTAAGGCTTAACAAAGGAATTTGTACTCATTACATAAATCGTTCTGCGAATTGCTTTATCACAGCACACCTAACAATTATATCGGTGATCAAAACTAAGGAATGCTATACAAAATAACAGTCTAGGAGGGGTCTAAGGTATACCGGGATTTGAGTAATTCCCATACTAATAGAACGAATTCAATATATTTGTTACTCTGACTTATGGTATATCTATTAATAAAACCTGTCCCTTTTAAACAAAACAATGTGCTATTAATGTCTAATCGGGGCTGTATGGTTCGGATTACGTCAGATATGGGGCTTCAATCTTTTGACAATAGGAACCACAGATAAGTCCCTAATCGATGCAATGACCATGTGATGCATACAATTTCCATTTTGTTTAGCTTTCGGCATCAATGATGAAAGTTTTGAACATCGCATTTTTAGTTATTATTTGTTGGGCGCTATGCAATCATAGTATCCTATTATTGATATAGCCTATCTGTACGCCGATGATTATTATTGTTATGCAAGATGACGATACACGTTACAATGTAAACATTGCCAAGAAAAAACTGATTATCAATTCCTCCCTCCTCCTCAGTTTTCTCCTCTTCCTTCTCCTTTTTTCTATGCGACAATACTATTTACAATGAAGAAAGTGGTAGAGAAAAATAGATTTTCAACACCTCCTTCCTTCTTAATTTTCTTCTTACCCCTCCTCCATTGCATGTCACAAACAGTTTATAATTTTTACCGCGAACTCAAAATCATATCAAAAACATAAATATTAACGCCAGTGCTTTCCCAAGAATAACAATATAGTCCTTTTCGGAGTTATTTCCCCTTGTAATGTAAAACGTTCGGTATGTCAATTTGTTTTTACGGGCGATACATGCAGGATATGGTTATATTAAGCTGGCATAACGTCTTTTGAAGATATGGATAATGCATTAGTCGGGTTTCCATAAATATTAATTAAGCCTATTTCTTCCTCTTATTTGTGGAAGCAGTATAAGTAAAAGTGTTTACCGACAAAATACTGATTTGCTGATACGACACAACGCCACACTAGTGTGGTTTGGACATATGTGTAAAGAAATACAGACTCCTGTTTAGTTTTCATTTTGGAGTTAAATTGTCCAATTCCGTTGGGATGATGGATTTACTAGATCAACATACTTCGAAAGTTTAGCGCATTGTCTTCCACGAAATTCATTAGCATTCCGAAATATTGAAGATAAATCTTGCACGGATCATAGACGATTCCTAGTCACCGTGACTAAACAGCAGTGGAACAGTAGACAACCATAGAAACAAGTGGAAAAACAGCCGCAAAATGGTCGAGAGACAATTCACCCACGGAAAAAGTAAGTAGATTGTGAGAGACAAAACGTAAGTACATTGTAACAGACAAAACGTAAGTAGATTGTAAGAGACAAAACGTAAGTAGATTGTAACAGACAAAAAGTGAGTAGATTATATCAGAAGAAACGTAAGTAGATTGTATCAGACAAAACGTAAGTAGATTGTAACAAACAAAACGTAAGTAGAATGTAAAAGACAAAACGTAAGTAGATTGTAACAGACAAAACGTAAGTAGATTGTAACAGAGAAAACGTAAGTTGATTGTAACAGAAAAAACGTAAGTAGATTGTAACAGACACAATGTTATTAGACTGTAACAGAACAAACGTAAGTAGACTGTAACAGTCAAAACGTAAGTAGACTGTAACAGAAAAAAACATATGTAGATTGTAACAGACAAAACGTAAGTAGATTGTTAGATCTGTTACAAATCTAATTACGTTGTGTCTGTTACAATCTACTTACGTTTTGTTTGTTACAATCTAATAACATTTTGTCTGTTACAATCTACTTACGTTTTGTTTTGTCTGTAACAATCTACTTACGTTTGTTCTGTTACAATCTAATAACATTTTGTCTGTTACAATCTACTTACGTTTTGTTTTGTCTGTTACAATCTACTTACGTTTTGTCTGTTACAATCTAATAACATTTTGTCTGTTACAATCTACTTACGTTTTGTTTTGTCTGTAACAATCTACTTACGTTTTGTCTGTTACAATCTACTTACGTTTTGTCTGTTAGAATCTCCATGGTACTTACGTTTTGTCTGTTACAAACTCCATTGTACTTACGTTTTGTCTGTTACAGTTTACTTCTAGAAAAATAGTACTTAAATGCTTATCTGAATTTTGTTCTTTTACACATTGCAATGATGTTTTTATTTTATTAATTAAAGCTTCTCTATGTATATTTGAAAAAAAAGTATGCACGTGATATTTCATCAATACTCTTATCTTTAATGGTCGATAATTCGCTAAAATTGGATTGCGCTAAAAAAGGTATGTTTGCTTTATATGTATCAATATATATTGAAAAAATGTCGACAAATAATGACTGTGTGCCGTTGAAGTCCCTTTGACAAAAATGAAATATTCCTCACATTAAAGTAAACTGAATGAAGACAGCTTAATGGCGAATGTATATACTTCTGGTATACAAACTGATATTCTCTTCGTCAACTACCTGTATTACATTATGGTGACCCTGTCGGAGCCTCACAAAAAAAATGATGACAACAACTACCTGTATTACATTATGGTGACCCTGTCGGAGCCTCACGAAGAAATGATGACAACCGGCATCGCCTGTCAAAATGACCATTTTCGCCTTCATGTGCACGAGCCACTCATCAAAATGTACCTCCAGTAGATGGAGAGTTCCAGTCCCCGTGTGAAATTTGTCAGTGAGGCTAGGTAGTTGGACGAGGGCCGAAGTGCGGGTCGCTAAGGCGGAAACTAAAGATTCAGAAAGTTGGAATGTAACTGGGGACAAATAATACAGACTAAACATGTAAGTACTTCTTTTTTCTTCTATCTCTCTTTCTTCTTCTATCTCTCATTCTTTATTCGTCTCTCATTAAGCAAGTAAATCACTCGGTAAATGAAAGGTTAGGTTTCATACAAAGAAAAGATTGGAACTTTCATAGAAGTTAAGCTATTAGATTGGGTATCAAAGATTTTAAACCGGGAGTTCGTTTTAATACCAATATTTTTGCAATTTAAAAAAAAATATTTGTCGAATGTTACACTTTTTGTTTATAAAAGTTCGTACTTTAAAATCAACGTTACAACCGTGCAAAGGAAATATCATGAAAGGATTGGGACAAGAACATCTTATAAAATAATCATTTATTACAAAGAAGCCAACAGAAGCAATTCAGGCCAACAGTCAAGCATTCCGTTCTTTGGTTTGTAAATCTCCTAAAAAAAGAAAACACTTTTACGACATTTTTATTAGTTAATGAAACACCTTATAGAATAGAAGATATTAATGGTTTCCTTTGTGAACATAAACTTAACACGCCGGCTGACATAAATCATATATAAATAAATGTTAAGTCTTTTTTAAAGACACGTGCTCTTTCTCATTTTGTTGCTAAATTAATTAACGGTGTGGTTTGTCAACAAGCACGTGACTTCTATCCAATCTCTCACCTACCTAGCACAACACTGTATATGAAGTTATTTTTGATAGAATTTTTTGACAGTAATTTTTGACGCTCATTCATATCAGGAACTATATATATTTATTTTACAAACAATCAAAAGATAGAAAAGGTATAAAGTAAAACAAGTATGCGGTCAATTCTAAAAATGTTGAAATCCTTGCGATGCTGAAAAAAAAATAAAAATACATATATAGCGCTGGGGCAATGTCAGAGAACCGTGGATAATATCGGAAGTCTTCGGGATATTCCGAAGTGCTCGGGATATTTCGCAGTCCTTGAAATATGTAAAAGTTCGTTAGATATTTTGAAGTTCTGGGGGTACGTCGAAGTTCTAAGGGGAATTCTGGATATCCAAGATTTCCGGATATGTCGGTGTCCTTTCGATAACTCTTGATATCTAAGGTTACCGAGATGTCGAAGCTGTCGGGTCCTTGCACAAACCCAGCGATATACATAAACTACTCGCCATATTGGAATTATTTTACGTGAAAAATTCTGTAAGAGAACTTATAAACCAGATATTCCGGATACTTTTTATAGAGAAAGTGAAACTAACAGAGAGGTCTTTTTTCTTATTTATTTGTTCTCTATTTCGCAACTATTATCCTGCTTACATTTCTAGCCATGATTAGCATTTTGTAAAGGTTTGGCAAACTAGCCAGGGTTAAGTTCCTGCCGTATTAAAAGGAGTTATTTTTTAAAGTGGTTGGGGCTGAGGGGAATGCCAGTTTTTAATCTCGTGCCTCATAATTCAACTGGGGATCGTCGGTATAATAATAGTTTCAGTAATGTTGTTTCCGAGACAGTAAATGTGGTTTTGCATGTAACGTTTGCAATTAATTATAAAAGTTTGTTGATAAATTTCGCTGGTTGTTTTAAAAGATATCGTTCATAACGTAAATAAAAAAAAAAAAAATGCTTGAAACTGACAAAAAAAGTAAAGAAAGATATCAAGGAATTTGTTAATATGTTTAAGTTGTTATTTAACAAATGGTCGCACAGTTACGACAACAATCTATACCTTGTAATCTGTGTCTATTAATTTTAATGTTTGCTTTCCAGGAATTTATTTATCTTCTCTCCTAGTTTTGATTATAACATTTCATAAAATGTGCAAAAATAAATTGACCAAGCCTTTATGTCTATAAGAGTCTGGTTTTCAGACAAAGATTAGTATTGTGTTATCGCGAATTCATCTGATGTCGGACTAATTACCGAAATCTTCACCGAGCTAGACCGCCCGAAGGTTTTCACATTGTCGTATATCGTATGCAGTAGGTGAGGGCTATTTCTACCATTTTTTATGTCATAAACGCCACACCATTTATAGCCACGTCTTCACACACATCAAGGCTGCGTCACATACATTCGTTCTCGGCAATCAACATGTGTCATTTCAATAAACTTTTTTTTTCCGGTTATTTACCGACCTGGTTTCAAAAGAAGTCATTTTCTCATAAAGTAGAGAAACAATGACAAACACAAACACGTAGACCGACGTGGGTTATTTATGTGTGGTATAAATGGCGAAACACGATTTCCACGAACGGAATGTTCGCATAGTCATCGATCAGCGAATTAAAGGCGTTCTCTGATTATTGTTGTTTTTTATTTACGTTATTGACGGAACAGCACTGCAAAAATCGTCGTCACTTGAGCGATTGATTCTTAATTATTCACTACGTCATGTAATGCTAAGCGTCCTAGTGACAGGAATAATGTGACGTATTTAGTAACGGCACGAGACCAAATTCTGTATCCATATCACTATGACCGATACTTTAGTTTGATGAACACAGGTAGATAAACGTAAATATGACGTTATAAAGTTGGATTTGAATACAGGTGACTTGAGCAACTGTTCGAGAGGGCTATGCTAACGATTGTCTATCTGCTGGAAGGGTCACCGATATAAAAAAAAATGCGCATACTATACACATATAAAACACTTGAAATGCCACTTAAGGCTGTATGCTACATTATCACGACGGACACAATGTATTCCTACATATCATTGTGACGGGTTCTGTACTGCTAATAAGAGTTGTGTGGAAGTGCAGGTGTCTCTTTTTTCGACATTCGTCTTTCGCCGCTTATGTGATTGCAAAACTTAACTACAGGATACGTGTGGTCTGTATATTGATTTTAATCACATACGGTTGGGTTGCTCTATCCAGACAACAGAAAATTGTACAGAAGAAACCTGAATTAACGTATAACTCATCGAAATAAAAAAAATAAAAAACATATGCTCTAATGAAAATGATCAGATCTCTGATTTAGTGATGTCGATATGGATCTAGCCAATCAAAACGTTATCACGATTTGTTGCGACACTACAAATCCAAACAAAAGGGTACAGGTGAACTCGAGTGGCAGTCCCAGACGGAGATAGACGTGTGTTATTCTTTGTCGTCGCTAGGACAGTTAGGCTGTGTCCCACCTGTTAATCCTAGACAAGTACACTGTACACAAAGGTCACACTGTCCAATAGAGGCCAGTCCGACAATCCATCAGTTACCTTTATAAATTCAAAGACGACTCTTTGTCTTAACAAGATTCGTTTTGAGAAATAACATTACGTTTGTTCTGTTACATATTCAATCAAGGCTTTTGGGTAAAATATGTAACTTTACCTGTATAGTTTTCCGTGTAAACTGCAATTATCTGATATACATTTAGTGTAAACCATATTGGTTCTGGAATGTTATAAAAGAGTAGATCCACTGTGTTTTTTTGTGCGTGGACCCACACACACGGACCTGCCTGTTATAGATAGGGAAAACAATCAAATTATTTCTTCGCAAAAATCTCTAACCTTCATACTTAACACACACAAATAACAAACAAAAGCGCATCTTCTAGTTTTTAGAAATATCGTGTTCCTCTAATGCAAAAAAACAAAGAACTATTTTTTCATAAAGAAATTTTCTATTTCAAAGTATTTAAAAGAGTTTGACATTCCCAACACATAGCAAAATTCCAAATCCCTTTTGTTTGTTTTAGAACAACTTTAGCTCGTCAATTCTTTTTGCATATTTTTATTGGTTCTATAAAACGTAATTCATTTCATGAACGTACGAAGTAGGTATTTATTTCACAAAATAAAGGATGCCATCATCATCATCATTCTTTATTCCTCAAAAATGAGAGTGCATAATACAAAATTTAGAATAAAAAAATTATGCAATGTACAAATTGTGGTTAATACATATTTCGTGATCGTTCACTGTATCATTCTTTTTTGCGGGAGGGTGTATTCACCCTTACATTCAATCTGGTAAAGTTTACATTATACTAGGTCTGCAGCGTTGAAATATATCTGTGCTGCTTTCCAATGGAAATAAGAACTGTCTTGCGCAAATTCCTAGCACAGAGTTTTGTTATCCTAATCAGGATTGTCTATGGTTCCTTTGAATAGAGCTACTACAAGTTCCTCTTCTGCCATTTGAGACAATAGCAGATACGGTTGAACACCATAGTAGTTTATTACTTTGTCCATGAAAGTGTCCCTTAACATGAATGTCACAGTTCGTGACACAATAAAGGATGCCGATGCAGAGAGCTCATCCAAGTGCGCTACATGACCATCTCGACTACTTATGACTCGTGTAAAAACAGCAAGAAGGGAAGGCGTCTACCCGTGTATCATATAACCCGTACACGGAGACAGGTTAAATGAGGTTATACAGGTAGCACGATATCAAAATCTAGTGTTTTGAGCGATTTTGTACGATTTACTGTGCCTCGTAAGCAATATACGAAGTTATATATACTTATTATAAATTGTTTTATCGATTTAGTTTTGTATATACATGTATTATGTTTGTGACACATAAATTAAATATATTGATAGAATATGTCCATTGAGTGCTTTGAGCTGTTGTGAACTCATGCAGGTGTAAATGTTATCCTCATTTTGACCTACTGATGTCCGTTTGTTGCAGGCTACCTTTTATATTAGTGATTCTAGCGTCATTAGAATCAGTGGAATGTCGAGGAAAGATGATGGAGCCAGTCCAGCGCTCAAGTTTGTGGCGGAAAGGATACAATACACCTCAAAACATGGAGGACAGTGGCCTGAACTGCGGCGGGTACTGGGTATGTATCCATGGCAACCTATCATCACCGCACACACACGTTTAAACCACACTAAGATAGATAATTAGTCTATACAGGCAGATGGTCAACAAACCTAAATACCATTTTACCCAATTTCTACTACAGGTTCATTCCGGGAATGATAATCAATCAAATTAAACGTGTGCAAAATGTCTGTATAATTCAAAATGCGTGTAGATCGCGTTTTATAGCAAATGAATAACCATCATTCCATCTTTACATCATCAACATATTTGATGATAAATAATGATCACAAGTCAGTAGGATTAGAAAAGTTGCTCTCTCTCTGATATGTAAACGTTTGGATAATATTTGTGAGATGTATTTGATTTTGTGCTATGCTGTCCTGTTATATTCTAATAATTTAATCTTGCTTGTAACAAGCATTTTCATTGGCTTAAGAACTTATGTTATGAGCCCATAACGTAAAAAATGTAGTAATGGATACATAATATGCGCAATGTACATGTGTATAACGCGCTATATAATTTGCAAAAGTACCATAAGGCGCTTTACAACACATGGATACAATTATATTATATACAGAAGACGTACAAATCGGCATTTTACATTAGGTAACAAGACGTTTATGCCGAAATTAATTACACTGCGCTAACAGTTGTATCGTCCTTATAGGGCTCATTGGTGATGTTAAGGGTCACCGAGGTGGAAAATGTAAAGCTCGCCAAATACGGCATAATTACAGTATTACTGTATAGGCGGTAAGTCGTCTGTAATATAAACATATATAGAACACACTTATTCATGACTTCTAGGATGTGGCATGCATAATACAGGGGACTGTGCTTGTTTTACACACTTTGTAGTGGTTTACTGGGGGATCACTTTTGGTGTGATTGACAGCTGGCGACAGGCAATGATCATTAGGGTTATATAATGTCAATATATGCTAATGTTGTACATGGAATTAATGCTTGTAATGCATAGTGTATACATATACGCTGTACCCTGTCTACACACGTGCCGATAAAGCAGGAATGCCGAACAAGAATGTCTACAATATACTATTAGCTAAGGTCCAAATACCACTGCCAAATCTATCACTATTCATTGGGAGCTTTGGGGCATGACATCATCTTTGATAAGTCACTTTATTCATTTTCTTGAAAATGATAATTAAAAAGTAATCAAAGAAACAAATATTAAATGAATATATAAAAGTAAATGAAGATATCACAGTAGTGTTATGAGTATAACATGCAATTTGCTTAGACTATGCCTCTTATAGTGGTCCGATCATAATACTGTCTCTCTAACCAACTAAGCTGCCAGGTCAACAACAGTGCTCTGTCCTATACATACAACATTTATATAAGATATCAAGAGCAGGCTAATATTTGTACTAAAATGTAAAACTGAAGTGTCTATTTTTTTTTGCTGAAGTGGGAGAAGGATCCTTAAATCATATATTTAGTTGTTTTGAAATAAATATTTCAATAAATACACATTTCCGTGTTGATCTACGAATCAATAACTATTTCTGAATTTGTCAGATAATTTGTTTTAATCAATCCTATTTATAAAATCTTGATGACACAAGAAAATGTGCCAAATTCTTAAATATTTTCTGGTAAGTATATAGTTTTGATTAATGAATACAGATGTCGATAATACCATAACATATGGGTAACTTACTTTTTTCTAAACTAGTTCAAATTTGGAAATTATAAACAAATTAATATTGGAAACCTAATTCACACTTTATTTCTTCAAGAGTTTTGTTATTGAATAAATATTCGTACTGCAGAACTAGAATCGCACGTGTAGTTGCCGTATGCGGTTGGTAACTATGGTAACCAATATAAAACAGCTTGTCCTACATACTGCGGTTTAGACACATGCCTGACTCTGTGGTGACGTTTACTACCATACTTAATGACCAATAAAACTATCGCGTCACTTCGATAAACATCAGGCGGGACTCACGATATTGTCCGGCAGTAAAACGGTACCGTTCACTTAACAATTGCCATGTATAATTTAAGGTTTGGAGAGCATTTACAGTAAAAAACTCGAAATAATGCCCCTCGTTTATTTACGGAAAACAACTCGATATAATGCCCCTCATTTATTTACGGAAAACAACTCGATATAATGCCCCTCGTTAATGGAGGAAAACCTCGATATAATGCCACTCGTTAATGGAGGAAAACCTCGATATAATGCCACTCGTTAATGGAGGGAAACCTCGATACAATGCCCTCGTTAATGAAGGAAAACCTCGTTCAAAATTACCCTCGTTTATTTAAGTAAAAACTCGATATAATTCCCATCGTTAATTTACAGTAAAACCTCGATAAAATGCCCCTCATTAATGAAGGGAAACTCGATACAATGCCCCTCATTTATATACAGTAAATCCTCGATATTTTTCCCCTCGTTTCGCCTAAAACTACTTCTTTAGTATATTCTTCAGTATTTGGATTAAGCAAGTGCATCAAATAATATTTTGGATTGAAATCGTTTTCTGAATCCATCTCTTTAGAATACATAAATGTATGGATATCACTAAACTTAAGTTAGAGAAATGTGTACCTTTTTACTTTATGTTATATTTCTTTGCACTCTTTTTCTGGGCACATTTGTAAAACTGATAATCATGACGAGAACTGAGAGACGTTACAGTAAATGGTCTAAAACGTAGGCAAACCTACCACAAGGTGTCATCTTAATTCGTGTGGTATAAATGTCAGATGTCTCGACTTTAAATGTGTTTCTAACATAGCTTTAGACTGTTTTCTCATTAGAACAATTCTTTAGCTAAATGTATTTTTCATTGTTACGTCTAATAGTTTACACTCATGTCGTGTTTTACATTTTTCAAAATAAAAATAAACACGGAAACGTGTTGTTATTTATTATGAGATTTATTAAGCTTTCCAATAAAGAGTTTAACGTCATAAAAATAGTGCTCATCATTTGATGGAATTTGGTTTCATTGAAAAAAATATTCTTAGTTATTCTAGTTGTTATATTTCTCAAATCATTTTCGAGTTATTATAAAAATGTCGTTGATGTTGGTTCTTATGGTAAGGTAGCACTTTGTTTCGTATACCTGTACAATGAATTGCTAAATTTCAATATAAATGTGTTAGAATAGAAGCAAATAATCATTAGAATTACGAAAAAAACCCACACTGTTCAAGATGATTTTACAATGTTTGAGGATGTGTTCGTCGTAATAAACCGTAGGTGACATCACACCATCACACTCAATATAAAATAGTTTACCTATAACCTCAAGTTCTTGATAGATATTTTGCACGGCAATTATTTTATATCCAGCCCCCACCCCCCTATTTTGCCTATAACATTATATTTTAATTCCAATCTAAAAAATATTTGTTGGCATTTTGCTAAATCCTATTAGACTTTGGCATTTCAACAAATGCTCTATTACAAGAATAGATGTACGTCTTGGTGTAATTTGTATTTATGTCCACATAAAGTAATATATCTCGCAATAGCATTCCAGTTTTATCTACGTTAGGGTTTTGAAATATTATAAGAACACAAACCTGTTCCCGGTATCTTTATTGAGATAAGGGATGTATACAAGTTATGAATGTTATAGGCCGTCGCTGTAGGTGCCTCTGATCCTGTGGTAACCAGAGATGTCCTCTCATTCCCCATCAGTATACAGGTGTATAGGTCATAACTATATCAATATCAACGTTAATGTAGTCTTATACGACTTTAAATGATTAATTATACCATTAATTGGAGATATTTAATTACCCATTTGTACATTGTCTTCATAACACGGTAACTGACACTTCACAATGAGACTTTCTCGTGTCGCCTGTACCGTATGATGGAACTGCCTGAGGACGCCGGCTGTTCCATTGTGTGACGTTCTCGCTATTCATGAACTTCGCTTACCATGTCAGATCTACCACTCTTCGTGTAGGTGTTACCTAACCCCTGTCGCCTTCTTTGACAGTTGACCTCTGGTGACCCCGAGATCAGTTATTTATAGCTATACTCCTCGTATCGTCAAACCTATTTTAGGTATGTTTGGTGCCGTGGAATGGTAATGTTGATGAGCTGTCACAAATTCCTTGCCGCTATTATGATCGCTTTATCTATAAACTACATAACCAGAGTTTTCCAACGGAGTCGCTTAAATGTACTCTGTAGACATTTCACGATCTCGTATGAGATATGGTGTTGTTACGATGTCTTTATCAATTTCTTAGAAGGTTGGTTATAGAGGTTTTCGCCTGGACCTGACATGAAATGTCCTGATAACTGTCAACTGTGCTGCAAAATACACATCACACCTGACAATGTGTTTAGGTATTGATGATCTCTCGTCTTCTCGGCGTCTGGTGTATTCCGGAACAAATCACCTGATTGTCCGTGTATATTCTCAATGTTCTCCATGTAAATCTATCCTTTGAGGTAATTTTGTCCTGTTATCAACTGAATGTTATTTTATGTAACGCTTTGTGAATACTTTTCATTAGAGATTTTCTAGATATATTGAACTTTGTATGGAAAAATAACAATTAACTGAGATACACGTAGTAAGAAATATAAACTTACTGTGTATCGATAACTTGAGATATAAATAATTTCCCAATTGTTAATTATTTTTTTACAATACGGTGACTGATACCTCGTAATATGGATTTCTGTTTTCGCCTGTACGATATGACGACTTTATATGGGGAGAATGGCTGGTTTGTTGACGTGATGTTTCCACTATTCATGAAATTTGCTTACCACTTTTTTTTTTTTTT